GAGTAAATCAATGATTCTAATAAATATGAAAGAGTGAACTTACCAGTTAAAATATTATACAAATATTAGCAAAAAAAAAAAAAAAAAAAAAAAACTTTAAAAAAAGAGGAAATTTAAAAATACAAGCATGGCCGGGTACAGTGGCTCACGTCTGTCATCCCAGCACTTTGGAAGGCTGAGGCCGGAGGATCACCTGAGGTCAGGCGTTTGAGACCAGCCTAACCAACATGGAGAAACCCAGTCTCTACTAAAAATAAAAAAATTAGCCGGGCGTGGTGGCAGGTGCCTGTAGTCCCAGCTACTCGGGAGGTTGAGGCAGGAAAATCGCTTGAACCTGGGAGGTGGAGTTTGCAGTGAGCAGAGATCTCCCCACTGCACTCTAACCTGGGTGACAGAGTGGGACTCCATCTTAAAAAAAAAAATACAAATATTCATGATGGATATAAAAAACAAATCCAGACATATACTGTTTACAGGAGAGAGAAAAAGAGAGATAGTAAAACAATGGGAAAATATATTATAGTAGACTACTAGCTGAAAGATGGCATAATTCATTTTTAAAATACAGACGGGGTCTCACTATGTTGCCCAGGCTGGTGCTGACCTCCTGGCCTCGAGGAATCCTCCTGCCTCAGCCTCCCAAGTGCTGAGATGACAGGTTGAGCCAGCGTGCCTGGCCCATTTTAAAAAATAGTTTTCTTAGCTAGATTTTATCAAAATGAAAAACCCTTATCAAAAAATACTCTTAAGAAAATGAAAACAAAGTTACAGACAGGGAGAAAATATTTATTAAAGATACAATGTTTGTATCCAGGAGGTGTAAAGAATTCTCAAAACTCCAGAATGAGAAAACAGAAACGCTTTTAAAAAAGATTTAGGGCTGGGCGCGGTGGCTCACGCCTGTAATCCCAGCACTTTGGGAGGCCGAGACGGGCGGATCACGAGGTCAGGAGATCGAGACCATCCTGGCTAACACGGTGAAACCCCGACTCTACTAAAAAATACAAAAAACTGGGGCGGTGGCAAGCTGTAATCCAGCACTTGGGAGGCGGACGGGGATCACGAGGTCAGGAGATCGAGACCATCCTGGCTAACACGGTGAAACCCCGTCTCTACTAAAAAATACAAAAAACTAGCGGGCGAGGTGGCGGGCGCCTGTAGTCCAGCTACTTGGGAGGCTGAGGCAGGGAATGGCGTAAACCCGGGAGGCGGCTGCAGGAGCTGGATCGGCACTGTCCCAGCTGGGGAGGGAGACTGTCTCAAAAAAAAAAAAAAAAAAAAAAAAAAAAAAAAACTAGCCGGGCGAGGTGGCGGGCGCCTGTAGTCCCAGCTATTCGGGAGGCTGAGGCAGGAGAATGGCGTGAACCCGGGAGGCGGAGCTTGCAGTGAGCTGAGATCCGGCCACAGCACTCCAGCCTGGGCGACAGAGCGAGACTCCGTCTCAAAAAAATAAAATAAAATAAAATAAAATAAAATAAAATAAAATAAAATAAATAAATAAATAAATAAAAAAGATTTAAAAGATTTGAATGGCCGGGCGCGGTGGCTCACGCCTGTAATCCCAGCACTTTGGGAGGCTGACGCAGGCGGATCACGAGGTCAGGAGATGGAGACCATCCTGGATAACACGGTGAAACCCCGTCTCTACTAAAAATACAAAAAATTAGCCGGGCGAGGTGGCGGGCGCCTGTAGTCCCAGCTAATCAGGAGGCTGAGGCAGGAGAATGACCTCATTCTAAATCAGCAACTTGGCACCGTGATGCTGAGTACACGGTTTCCTCCCTGGGAGCCTCCGTTGCCCTGTGTGAAGCTTGACGGCTCTCCTGAAATAAAGCCTATGGGGGGCATGGCGCGTCTCCCCTTGCTGGAGCTGGTGCTAGTACCATCTTTCAGTCAATCAACAAATGTCGGCCGGGCGCGGTGGCTCAAGCCTGTAATCCCAGCACTTTGGGAGGCCGAGACGGGCGGATCACGAGGTCAGGAGATCGAGACCATCCTGGCAAACACGGTGAAACCCCGTCTCTACTAAAAAAATACAAAAAACTAGCCGGGCGAGGTGGCGGGCGTCTGTAGTCCCAGCTACACAGGAGGCTGAGGCAGGAGAATGGCCAAAACCCAGGAGGCGGAGCTTGCAGTGAGCTGAGATCCGGCCACTGCGCTCCAGCCCCGGCGACAGAGCGAGACTCCGTCTCAAAAAAAAAAAAAAAAACAAAAAACAAAAAAAAACAAATGTCTGTTGAGTTTAGTCTTTAAAACACCTGGCAGATTTTTTTTAGACAGTCTCACTCTGTCGCCCAGGCTGGAGTGCAGTGGCGTGATCTGGCTCACTGCAGCCTCCGCCTCCCGGATTCAAGTGATTCTCCTGCCTCAGCCTCCCGAGCAGCTGGGATTACAGGAGTCAGCCACCACACCCGGCTAATTTTTGTATTTTTAGTAGAGACGGGGTTTCGCCATGTTGGCCAGGCTGGTCTTCAACTCCTGACTTCAGGTGATCTGCTCACCTCGGCCTCCCAAAGTGCGGAGATGACAGGCATGAGCCACTGCGCCCGGCCAAGATTATTTTAAAGACTTGTATTCTCGGCCGGGCGCGGTGGCTCAGCCTGTATCCAGCACTTTGGGAGGCCGAGACGGGCGGATCACGGGTCAGGAGATCGAGACATCTGGCTACACGGTGAAACCCGTCTCTACTAAAATACAAAAAAAATTAGCCAGGCGGTGGCGGGCGCCTGTACCCAGCTACTCGGGAGGCTGAGGCAGGAGATGGCGGGACCGGGAGGCGGGGCTTGCAGTGAGCTGAGATCCGGCCACTGCACTCCAGCCTGGGCAACAGAGCTAGACTCCGTCTCAAAAAAAAAAAAAAAGACTTGTATTCTCTAATCCCAGAACATGCGTGTCCCATTTCTCTGTCTCCCTCCCCGTCTTGGGGGTCACAGTTGTTCTTAGGATGAAAGGGAGTGACACCTGGCGGGGAGGGGACGTTTGTCTTCTCTCCAAGAACCAGAAGGTGTCAAGTGTTGCCTGATGAAAGGTGGAGAAACCTGGCCTCTGGGAGAGTCTTGTCCTCTCTAGGGGTGGAAGTGAAACACTCACGTGGGTGCAGACCAGGCCACGTCAGCGCAGCTGCAGTGGACTTCAGACTCGGTGGGTGTTCTGACATGTCTCACTCTGCGGAGGCTTTGTTCACAGTGCCCTGCGCGGTGTGAGAAACCCCTAAAAACACCGAGATGGAAACGCTCGCTAACGTGCAGGGCGATTTTCTATGATGTGGAGAACACGGGACAGTGTGACTGCTTTGCTCGTCCGCGAGATGGTGAGTGAGGAGATATTCACGGCTCCCGGCACCAAAATCTCCAGAGGCCTTGACCCCCAGACCCTGTGCTGAGTCTCGTGGTGGAGAACCCCCTTCAGCAGCCAGGGACCCACCCAGTGCGCTTCTCGGCCCTGCTGGACACAGAGCAGCAGACAGAGATGAAGGAGATAGTGGGAACCGCGGGCCTTACCCAACCCAAGCCGCAGCCCCCTCACCCCGCCCAGGTTGCATCACAGCCCACCCGAGGAGCCGACACAGCCCCCAGAGGAAGACGCGGTGGGGCCGACACAGCCTGAGATACGGGGAGAGAATCCCGTGCCCAACTCCGGACAGAGCAGGAGCCTGGTCTCCCTCCTCTGGGTCAGATCTCCCTCCTCCAGGTCAGGTCTCCCTCCTCTGGGTCAGGTCTGCGGCCCTCCCCGGGCCTGCAGGGCTGCATTAGGATGGGGAGTTTGAGGTCAGAGACCAGTCCCAGAAACGCAGAGAGAGGGTGCAGCCCCCAGTCCTCTCCCCCACACCCCAGCAGGCTGGCTCACCGCTTCCCATGACCAGAGCCACCCCAGACCCTGGTTTTCCAGCAAGAGGCACCAGAGGAGGCCTTTGGTCAGTGCCGTGGGCAATCTACAGACAGCACAGCTGGGCCCCAACCCCAGGAAAGGGCAGAGGGATTCAGGGTCCCCTCGGAAGAATCGCCCTTCCCAAGAGAACTCAGCACCCGGCAGACCCCACAGTCAGATAGTTTCAGCCTGAGGCCCCTGCACACGCTGGCTGAGAGTGGGCGGGAAATGAGCAGGGTGCCACTCAGGTGGGGCTGTGGGCCACAGGTGGACACCTGGTCCAGCCCGGCCAGCAGCCCTGACCCGTGCTGACCCACTCTGAAGGGAAGGGGCCTGTCTCTGGTGGGCCTGGACCCCCACTCCCTGCAAGGGGGCATCTGTCCTTTCTGACTCTGACCCTGTGGAGGTGCAGGTATGGGCCCTCCCCCAAGGAACGTGTACGTCAGGCCCCCTGGGGCGAGAGAGCACCACCGTGGCCTCTGAATCCCAGGACCTGAGCTTGGAAGGGCTCCCAGAGCAAACACCGCAGCCCACAGCCTGGACTGCAGATTGTAGGGGTGGGAGCCCTGAGCCAAGTTCCAAGGAGATGGAGGCAGAACCCAGCCCCACCCCGCGGGTGGCCCTGACCCTCCTGCAGGCAGGAACAAAGGTGAGGCGCTTGACGCTAGAACCTCGGCACATCCCTGTGACCCTGTCATTTCACTGCCCCCCGGGGGAGCCAGACTCAGCGTCACCGTCCAGCCCAAGCAGCTCCCACTGGTTAAGCCCCTCAGCTGGTCCAGGGACGCCCGGGACCCCACTCCCAGGCTGTTCCAGTGCACCCTACAGCCGTCCCCACTGCCGGTGACACCGCGCCCATGCGGTCTGTGGACACAGCTCCCTCCCTCCCGCTGTGGAAACCACCACCTTATCCAGCTGGAACCTAAGGCCTGGCCCAGGGCAGACTATTGCCAATGAGGAGGGAGAGGCGAGGGAAGGAGCAGGGAAGTGCCAGCCAGGATGAGCCCCCACAGCACCCTGGAACCCCCACTGCCCACACCCAGCTCCATGCTGCCCCGAGGAAGGGCCGGAGCTTAGAGACCCCAAGGGAAGCCTCCCCAGCCCTGTGGACAAATGCACTCGGACACACAGAGGCTGCTTTACGCACAGTTTAATCAGAGTCAAGGGCCAGGCTGGGCAGGAGGCAGGAGAGCCGGGCCTCTGCTCCCCACGCACACCCGCCTTCCTGGAGACATCAGCCTGCAGAGGCGCCCAGGCCTCTCCCTCGAGAAGGACGGGACGTGGATGAGAGGCAGGAAAGGGCAGCAGAAATGTGGGTCCCAGGCAGAGGACCACTGGGTGCCAGGATAGTGAGGCTGGAACTGGGGAGGGGCGGAAGGTGTCCACAAGGAAGGCGGGGTCTCCTCCATCACGTGAACGCCCCTGCAGCCCCAGGGAAGGGACGGACGTGCTGGTGGATCCAGGACATGTAGCTCGTCACGCGGGCGTACACGCCGGGGACGTCGCTGTGACCGCAGAAGGTGCCCCAGCTCACCACCCCCACCTGGACCCAGGTGCAGTTCCACCTGCACACCAGGGGGCCCCCGGTGTCGCCCTGTGGGGAGACACGGCACTTAGCAAGGGTTCCCCATGTGCCTCCCCACGTGTCCCCCCCAGGAGGGGACGGACAGGTCGGTCTGGGGTCTCACCAGGCAGGAGCCGTGGTTCCCGTCCCCGGCACACAGCATGTCGTCCTTGATGAGCTGCTCAGACGGCTCAGTGTGGTTGGAAGGAAAGCGGCGGCAATAGATCTGGTTACAGAGGACGTTGCTCCTGACCTTCACCCTCACCTCCCGCAAGCTGAGGGGCCAGGGCAGTGGTTCTGCAAGGAGAGGTGTGGTGAGGCTCAGGGGCCTGGTGGAGGCAAGGCTGCGGCTTCTCATTTTGTCCAGAGCTGAGGCATACTATTCACTCACAGCTGGGCCTTCCCTGGCCGGGGGTGAGCCCCAAGGCTGCAGTCCCGGGCCCAGGAGCCCGGAACCACAGGCCTCACTCTTAGAAATGACGAGGGGCCGGGCGCTTTGGCCCACGCCTATAACCCTAGCACTTTGGGAGGCCAAGGTGGGAGGATCACTTGAGCCCAGGAGTTCAAGACCAGCCTGGCCAACATGGTGAAACCGCATCTCTACTAAAAATACAACAATTAGCCGAGGGTGGTGGCTGACACCTGTAATCCCAGCTACTCAGGAGGCTGAGGCAAGAGAATCACTTGAACCCAGAAGGCGGAGGTTGCAGTGAGTTGAGATCACACCACTGCACTCCAGCCTGGATGACAGAGAGAGACTCTGTCTCAAATAAAATAAAGTAAAAATAAAATAAAATAAAATAAAATAAAATAAAATAAGCCAGGCATGGTGGCGCACACCAGTAGTCCCAGCTATTCAACACTTGGAAGGCTGAGGTGGGAGGATCACTTGAGCCCAGGAGTTTGAGACCGGCCTGGGCAACACGATGAAACCCCGTCCCTACGAAAAGAAACAAAGTCAGCCGGGTGTGGTAGCTCACGCCTGTGGTTCCAGCTACCTGGGAGACTGAGGTGGGAGGATCACTTGAGCCTGGGAGTGTGAGGCTGTAGTGAGCTATGACTGCACCATTGCACTCCAGCCTGGGCGACACAGCATAACCCTGCCTCAAAAACAAGTTTTTAAATAAAAAATTTTTAAAAAAGAAACTGTTTGGGAAAAGCATGGGACCGGGACTCCGCCTGGACCGCGTTGTGGTGGGAATGAGGCTCCAGCGGCTGACGCGCTGCGGGGCCCAGGGCGAGTCCCCCGCCTCCCGTGGCTCATGGTTTATTTGCTGCAAAGGAAGAGCAGGCAACTGAGTGTGACGCTGAGGATGGAGTAAACTCACAAAATGCCTGTTGGGAGGTGGACAGGAGCACCCGCATGTCACAACCCCAGAACTTGCCACTGTGACCTTATTTGGAAAAAGACCTTTGCAGACAGAATTAAGACGAGGTCATGGCCGGGCGCGGTGGCTCAAGCCTGTAATCCCAGCACTTTGGGAGGCCGAGATGGGTGGATCACGAGGTCAGGAGATCGAGACCATCCTGGCTAACACGGTGAAACCCCGTCTCTACTAAAAAATACAAAAAAAAAAAAACTAGCCGGGCGAGATGGCGGGCGCCTGTAGTCCCAGCTACTCGGGAGGCTGAGGCAGGAGAATGGCGTAAACCCCGGAGGCGGAGCTTGCAGTGAGCTGAGATCCGGCCACTGCACTCCAGCCCGGGCGACAGAGCGAGACTCCGTCTCAAAAAAAAAAAAAAAAGACGAGGTCATGTTAAATTAGAGACATCCTAAATACAGCACCCAGTGTCCATACAGGAGAAGGGAGAGGGGAGCCTGGAGAAACACGGCTGCAAGCCCAGGGGCATGGGGATGGGCAGAGGTCCCAGAAGCCGAGAAGGCATGGAACGGACTCTCCCTCGGGCCCTCTGAAAGGAAGCAGCCCTGCCCACGCCTGGAGTTTGGACGTTTCACCTCCAGAGCCGTGAGATAAACAATTCCTGCTGCTCTGAACCACCTGGCCTGTGGTCACCCGTCTCAGCAACAGCAGGAAGCCATCCGGGTGCATCTGGAGCCCAGGCCCGCACCGACATTCCAGGCCATCTCCCCACATCCCACCCAAGGGGCTCTGTTCCTGACCTCCATGTCCAATGTCACCCCAGCCGGTCACCCAGCAGGTCTTCCCCGAGGGCACGTCCAGGGAGGCGGGCGGGAGTGAGACCGGGTGGACGAGCTCAGACCGCGGCACTGGGGCCTCCAGCTTCAGCAGGGCGATGTCCGCACCACCCCGGGCACACAGGCTCTTGTTGTACCGGGGATGACGGACGATCTCAACCACCTTCGTCGGCTGGTCGTCCTCATAGAGCCTCAGCTGCCCGACCTGCACCCTGAACGCACAGGCCTCCAGCTCCTCCCTGGAGAGAGAAACGGGCACCTCTCAGAGCAAGGCTGGATGCTCAGGACCGGGGCTTTCCCTGAATCCCGGGAGGGGCCCCCGGCACACAGGACACCTGCCCGTCCCCACCCCCACTCCCACCCGCCGAGGGGACGGCAGGCTCCACTCACGGCTCGAGGCAGTGGGCGGCGGTCAGCACCCACTCTGGGTGGATGAGGGAGCCCCCGCAGATGTGCTCCCACAGGCCCTTCTCCATGCTGTAGAACCTCAAGCTGACCTGCCAGGGGAACCTCCTGGCCGAGACGTCGCAGCCCCCGACGATGCCCACCAGCTCACGCCCCGCGCCGGGCTCTGGGGAGGCAAGGGAGGGGCGTGAGGGGGCCGGACGAGGGTCTTCCCAGGGCTCAGGGGCACCAGGAAAGACCGGCAATCAGACGGTCCCCACGCCTCCGGCAGGGCTGGCGCTCTGAGCCCAGGGCGGGGGGTGGGGTCCCGGGCAGAGGGGGCACTGGGTGGGTTGGACTCGCCTGGATTCCTGGGCACGGAGCCCCCCAGGCAGGGGAGGGTCAGGAGCAGCAGCCACAGCATCTGTGGGGAGAAAGCCAGGCTTGGGGTGAGGAGATCTGAGCCCCAGCTGGGGTCTGGGAATGGAGAGGGGGGTTCGGAGTGGGCGGCTTACCCGTGCCCCCGGTCTCTCTGCCTCTTCCCTGGCGTCTCTGGGAGCCCATTTATCTCTCCTACAGAGGAAGTGGGTGGGCAGGGAAACCCCTCCTGGGCACATTCAGAATGCTGAGAGCAGGTGGGGCCAGGCGCTGAGTCCCACTGGGTGGGACTGGGTCCAGGGCACAGAACTGCAGTGTGTGAACCGTGGCCATCGGAGCTGCAGGGGTGGGAGGCAGCCCCGGTGGCAGGGGGGGGGTCTGAGAAATGGTCAACGCCTCAAAGAGAAGCAGCAGCGACACCCCAGCTAGGGAGGGAGGGAGGGAGGGATGCGTGTGTTAAAGCATAGCCCGTTCCTGTTCTCTGGCCAGGTCCCCTCCTCACCCTCACCGGGGACACCCACCGTCCTTGGGAGTGAAGGATTCACTTCCTGGTGCCTGGAGCCCGTTCTCCTCTTTGGCCCAAAATATCCGCCTCCCCAAAATAACCCTTAGTGCCTCCTATCTCACGACGGCCTCGGGCTGCGAGAACCAGCTCCAGGAGAGTGCAAGTCACCAGCCAGGGAGAGAAGGGGACAAGCCCAGGGCGCACCGAGCAGCCCGGTCCCCGACCTCTCTCTGGACCTTCCACTGCCCGGAGGTGCTGGGGCGGGAGCAAGAAAACCTGACCCAGTCTGGCCTTGTCAGCAGCTCCGAGGAATGAGGACTTGACATCCCTTTAGTCTGTTTCCAAGACCCCGAAGCTCACCCATGGGAGAGGGTCATGAGGACCCAGGAGCCCTTCCCCGCCGAACCCCCAGCACCAGTGTCCCCAGAACATCAGGATGCTGCTGGAGGTGACTGTCCCAGCGCTGGTTCCCCTGTGGAGACCCCACCTGGCCGCTCTCAGCCTCACCCAACACCCTTCTTGGCCCTGCTGGACACGGAGCTACAGACAGAGATGCAGGAGGCAGAGGGAGCCGCAGGCATTACCCAACCTGACCCCCAGCCCCCGCCCCCACCCACGTTGCATCATAGCCGACCCGAGGAGCCGCAGCCCCCAGAGGAAGACGCAGTGGGGACGACGCAGCCTGAGATACAGGGAGAGAACCCAGTGCCGGACCCTGGACAGAGCAGGAGCCTGGTTTCCCTCCCCGGGGGCCGTGTCTCCCTCCTCCAGGTCAGGTCTCCCTCCCCCGGGCCTGGTCTCCCTCCCCCGGGCCTGGTCTCCCTCCTCCAGGTCAGATCTCCCTCCCCCGGGCCAGGTCTCCCTCCCCGGGGCCGTGTCTCCCTCCTCCGGGTCAGGTCTCCCTCCCCCGGCCCTGGTCTCCCTCCCCCAGGCCTGGTCTCCCTCCCCCGGGCCTGGTCTCCCTCCCCTGGGCCTGGTCTCCCTCCTCCAGGTCAGGTCTCCCTCCCCGGGCCTGGTCTCCCTCCCCCGGGCCTGGTCTCCCTCTTCCAGGTCAGGTCTCCCTCCCCCGGGCCTGGTCTCCCTCCCCCGGGCCTGGTCTCCCTCCTCCGGGTCAGGTCTCCCTCCCCCGGGCCAGGTCTCCCTCCCCCGGGCCTGGTCTCCCTCCCCCGGGCCTGGTCTCCCTCCCCCGGGCCTGGTCTCCCTCCTCCAGGTCAGATCTCCCTCCCCCAAGCCAGGTCTCCCTCCCCCAGGCCTGGTCTCCCTCCTCCAGGTCAGGTCTCCCTCCTCGGGGCCTGGTCTCCCTCCTCAGGGTCAGGTCTCCGGCGCCCTCCCCCGGCCTGCAGGGCTGCGTTAGGATGGGGAGTTTGAGCTCAGTTAGAGACGAGCCATAGAAACGCAGAGAGAGGCTGCAGCACCGCCCGCAGCCCTCTCCCCGCGCTCTCTCCTCCCTGCCCGCACAGCCAGCAGCCTGCTCCAGCTCTCTGTGTCCCACGGCCACGGTGGCATCCTCCAGGTCTGGGAGCGACAGCAAATGCACGCGGATCTGCTGCAACCTCAGGTCTTGCCTCCTCAGAATAAAAATTCGACTGAGGGGCAGACGTCAGAAGGAGAGACTGAGGCAAGTTTTAGAGCAGGAGTGACAGTTTATTAAAACGCTTTAGAGGCCGGGTGCGGTGGTTCACGCCTGTAATTCCAGCACCATGAGAGGCCAAGGTGGGAAGACCACTTAAGGCCAGGAGTTCGAGACCAGCCTGGCCAAGGTAGTGAAATCCTGCCTCTACTAAAAATACAAAAATTAGCCGGGCGTGGTGGCACATGCCTGTAATCCCAGCTACTTGGGAGGCTGAGGCAGGAGAATTGCTTGAACCTGGGAGGCACAGGTTGCAGTGAGCCGAGATCACACCACTGCACTCCAGCTTGGGTGACAGAGTGAGAACCTGTCTCAAAATAATAATAATAATTAAGAAAGAAAAGTGAGCAGCTTTAGAGCAGGAACAAAATGAAGGCAAGTACACTTGGAAAAGGCCCAAGCAGGCAACTCAAAAGGCTAGTGTGCAGTTCGACCTTTGACTTGGGGTTGTTTTTTTGAGACGGAGTCTCGCTCTGTCACCCAGGCTGGAGCGCAGTGGTGCCATCTCGACTCACTGCAAGCTCCACCTGATGGGTTCAAACGATTCTCCTGCCTCAGCCTCATAATTAGCTGGGATTACAAACATGCATCACCACGCCCAGCTATTTTTTATATTTTTAGTAGAGACGGGGTTTCACCATGTTGGCCAGGCTGGTCTTGAACTCCTGACCTTGTGATCCGCCTGCCTTGGCCTCCCACAGTGCTGGGATGACAGGCGTGCTCCCGGGGTCTCGCATCCCTTCTCTGTGATTCCTCCCATGGGTGGGCTGTCCGTGTGTGCCGTGGTCTGCTAGCGCTCGGGACGGGAGCGTGTGTGGTGCGTTGGCTGGAGCTGTGCTTGTGCTCACTTGAGATGCTCTTCATGACCAGCTGCAGATCCCTTGAAGGCCACAGACCAGTTAAACTCCGCCATTTTGCTTCTTAGTGGGCCTGCTCCGGCCCGCTCACCCAGCTCCGGAGATCGTACTGGGAAGCGGCTGATCACGTTTCAGGTGTTTGCTCTCTGCTGGGAGACTGTCGTTCCCTGGTGCCAGCTGCAACAAGTATTATGTTAGCGAGGCAGCTAACAACCGCCTGACCATCACCCGAAGGTCTCCCGACATCCTGGTGTGTGGGAGGGGAGCCCTCTCCTGCCCTGCCCATGCCTGACCGGTTGCCGCTGTCACAGGCCCAGCAATCGTAAGTGACCAGCAGGACACGTTCCTGTGACGAACAGCCACACCCGGTGAAGTTTGTTTCCCACCCAAAATCTCCTTCCTCTGGAAACCTGGGTGGGCGCCGCTCAGCCCGTTGGTCTGGCTCTCGGTCCCTCCCAGTCCTTCTCTCTTGCTTCCTCCCTCACCGTGGGATACCCTGGCTCCCCATTGGCCTTCCACCACCATGGGTGGTTCCCGAGGCCTCCCCAGAAGCCAAGCAGATACTGACACCATGCCCGTGCAGCCTGCAGAACTACAAGCCTCTGTTCCCTCTCCTTTTCTCTTTTTTTTTTTTTTTTTTGAGATGGAGTCTTGCTCTGTCGCCCAGGCCAGAGTGCAGTGGCATGATCTCAGCTCACCGCAGCCTCTGCCTCCTGGGTTCAAGTGATTCTCCTGCCTCAGCCCCTGGAGTAGCTGGGACTACAGGCACACACCACCACACCTGTCTAATTTTGTATTTTTAGTAGAAACGGGGGTTTCACCCTGTTGGCCAGGCTGGTCTCGAACTCCCGACCTCAAGTGATCCGCCCACCTCGGCCTCCCAAAGTGCGGGGATTACAGGCGTGAGCCACCGTGCCCGGCCTGACTTTCCTTTCTCCTCTCCTTTCCTTTTCCCAGGCTATTGCTCTGTCACCCAGGGACATGATCTCAGCTCATTCAATCTCTACCTCTCAGGCTCAAGCCATCCTGTCCTCAGCCTCCAGAGTAGCTGGGACTACAGGTGTGCGCTACCACGCCCAGCTAATTTTCTTTTCTTTTCTTTTTTTTTTTTTTTTTGAGGTGGAGTCTCGCTCTGTTGCCCAGGCTGGAGTGCAGTGGTGGTGCAATCTCTGCTCACTGCAAGCTCCGCCTCCCGGGTTTACGCCATTCTCCTGCCTCAGCCTCCCGAGTAGCTGGGACTACAGGCGCCCACCACCGCGCCCGGCTAATTTTTTGTATTTTTAGTAGAGATGGGGTTTCACTGTGTTAGCCAGGATGGTCTCGATCTCCTGACCTCGTGATCCACCTGCCTCAGCCTCCCAAAGTGCTGGGATTACAGGCGTGGGCCACCGTGCCCAACCACACCCAGCTAATTTTCTTATTTTTAGCAAAGACAGGGTTTCACTGTGTCACCCAGGATGGTCTCAAACTCCTCAGCTCAAGATTCTCCCACCTCGGCCTCCCAAAGTACTGGGATTACAGGTGTGACTCACTGCCTACACAGTGGGCCCGGTGTGGTGGCTCATGCCTGTAATCCCAGCACTTCAGAAGGCTGAAGCGAGAGGATCACTTGAGGTCAGGAGTTTGAGATCAGCCTGGGCTGCACTTTGAGACCCCATCTTTTTTTTTTTTTTTTTTTTTTTTGAGACAGAGTCTCACTGTCGCCCAGGCTGCAGTGCAATGGCGCGATCTTGGCTCACTGCAACCTCCGTCTCCCAGGTTCAATCAAATCTCCTGCCTCAGTCTCCCGAGTAGCTGGGACTACAGGCGCCCACCACCACGCCAGGCTCATTGTTTGTATTTTTAGTAGAGACAGGGTTTCACCATGTTGGTCAGGCTGGAGACCCTATCTCTTAAAAATATAAATTAAAAATTAGGCTCGGTGGCACGCACCCGTGGTCTTAGCTACTTGGGAGGCTGAGGCGAGAGAATGGCTGTGTTACGGGAAAGGGGTCCCAATCCAGACCCCAAGAGCGGGTTCTTGGATCTCTCACAAGAAAGAATTCAGGGCGAGTCCATAGAGTAAAGTGAAAACAAGTTTATTAGGAAGTAAAGGAGTAAAGAATGGCTACTCTGGCCGGGCGCGGTGGCTCGTGCCTGTAATCCCGGCACTTTGGGAGGCTGAGGCAGGCAGGTCATGAGGTCAGGAGTTCGAGACCAGCCCGGCTAACACACTGAAACCCTGGCTCTACTAAAAATACAAAAAATTAGCCGGGCGTGGTGGCGGGCGCCTGTAAACCCAGATACTCAGCTAGGCTGAGGCAGGAGGATGCCAAGAACCCAGGAGGCAGAGGTGGCAGTGAGCCGAGATCATTCCACTGCACTCCAGCCTGGGTGACAGTGCAAGACTCCATCTCCAAAAAAAAAAAAAGAATGGCTACTGCATAGACAAAGCAGCCCCGAGGACCACTGGTTCTCTGTTTTTGTGGTTATTTCTTGATGATCTGCGAAACGAGGGGTGGATGATTCATACCTCCCCTTTTTAGACCGTGTATGGTGACTTCCTGCCATTGCCATGGCGCTGGTGGGAGTGTGGCAGTGAGGACAACCAGAGGTCACTCTCGTCGCCATCTTGGTTTTGGTGGGATTTGGGCGGCTCCTTTGCTGCAACCTGTTTTATCAGCAAGGTCTTTATGACCTGTATCTTGTGCTGACCGCCTGTCTCACCCTGTGACTCAGAATACCATAACTGTCTGGGAACGTGGCCCCATAGGTCCCAGTCTCATGTTACCCAGCCCCATTCAAGATGGAGTTGCTCTGGTTCACGTGCCTCTGACAGCTTGAGCCCAGGAGGTTGGCGCTGCCCTGAGCCATGACTGCACCGCTACACTCCAGCCTGGCAGGCAGGGCTACACTCTATCTCTTTTTTTTTTTTTTTTTTTTTTGACGAGTCTCGCACTGTCACCCAGGCGGGTGCATGGCTACTCACTCACTCCGCCTCCGCACGCCATCTCCGCCCCGCCCCAGAGCTGGCTACACTCCCACTCCCTATTTTTATTTTTTAGACTAAAAAAAAAAAAAAAATTCCAGGAACATGAAGATAATGAGTGACGGTTACATTGTGCGTCTTGTGGCAACATTGTAGGTAATTTATCACCTAGCCTGAAACTACAGGGAAAGAAACGCAAATGCCCTGAAACAGTTTCCCGCCTGGCACGGTGCGGGGACTTCACACGCCTCCTGCTCAGGCCTCTCTGGGCCTGACCCAGGTCACAGACCTCACGTTTCCCAGGCTGCTCTGAGCCACTTTTCTTTCTCACATCCATGAGGTGGGCTCGGTGCACTTTTCTGAACCTCGCCCTGAGTATCTCTTCATCTGCCCGCTCATTTTTATCCTCTAAGACATCTGCAAAGCAAAAATAAAATTATAAGCCCTCAACCAGCAAAACGGACCACTCCTCTCCTCCAAGGGGATTCTGAAGCGGCTCAAAACACTAGTTCAGGCCACGCTGGGAAAGGGGATTGGAAACGCCTCATTACACCCTCCTCCCTTTGGGATTCAGGCACTGCTGACCAGCCTTAACATTAAAACAGAGATCTTTTTTTTTTTTTTTTTAGAGGGAATCTCACTCTGTTGCCCAGGCTGGATTGCAGTGGCATGATCTTGGCTCACTGCAACCTCCGCCTCCCGGGTTCAAGCGATTCTCATGCCTCAGCCTCCTAAGTAGCTGGGATTACAGGTGCCCACCATCACGCCCGGCTAATTTTTGTATTTTTAGTAGAGATAGGGTCTTGCCATGTTGCCCAGGCTGGTCTCAAACTCCTGATCTTAAGTAATCTGCCCATCTTGGCCTCCCAAAGTGCTGAGATTACAGGTGTGAGCCACCACGCCCAGCCCCAAAATGTATTTCTTCGATATATTTTTAAATGGCCCTGCAAAGCTGCCTCTTGTGGGCGAAATTTACGTTTTGTAGAGAATTGTCTTCCCTTACTAGGCTTTTTTTTTTTTTTTTTTTTTTTTTTTTGAGATGGAGTTTCGCTCTTGTTGCCCAGGCTGGAGTGCAGTGGCGCGATCTTGGCTCACCGCAACCTCTGCCTCCCAGGTTCAAGCAATTCTCCTGCCTCAGCCTCCCGAGTAGCTGGGACTACAGGCGCCTGCCAACACACCCAGCTAATTTTGTATTTTTAGTAGAGACGGGGTTTCTCCATGTTGGTCAGGCTGGTCTCAAACTCCCGACCTCAGGTGATCTGCCTGCCTCAGCCTTCCAAAGTATTAGGATTACAGATGTGAGCCACTGCGCCCAACCCTTACTAAGTATTTTCAGGAGCGTCTAGCACCTTTTAAGGTCTGGTGAGAGACATTTGCCATCTATTCTCTCTGAAGCCTGTTACCTGGAGGCTTCATCTACATAACAAGAACCTTGGTTTCACGATTCTGTGACTTTAGCCCCATTTTTTTCTGCAGACTTCAACTCTTTAGGCAAAATTTAACTCTTTCAACCAACTACCAGCCAGGAAATCTTTGAATCCACCTATGACCGGGAAGCTCCCCTCAGACATCCCACCTTTGCAGACTGAACCAACGTGCACCTTACATGTATTGACTGATGTCTGCCTATAACTTTGGTATCCTTAAAATATATAAAACCAAGCTGGAGACCAGATGACTGGCTCACACCTGTATCCCAGCACTTTGAGAGGCCGAGGTGAGCAGATCACTTGAGGTCAGGAGTTTGAGACCAGCCTGGCCAACATGGGGAAACACCATCTCTATTAAAAATACAAAAAAAAAAGCTGGGCACAGTGGCTCACGTCTGTAATCCCAGCACTTTGAGAGGCTGAGGAGGGTGGATCACTTGAGGTCAGGAGTTCAAGACCAGCCTGGACAACATGGCGAAACCCTGTCTCTACTAAAAATACAAAAATTAGCCATGCGTGGTGGCACACGTCTGTAATCCCAGCTACTTGGGAGGCTGAGGCAAGAGACTTGCTTGGACCTGGGAGGCAGATGGTGCAGTGAGCCAAGTAGCCAAGTAGATTACAGGTGCCCGCCATCACGCCTAACTTTTGTATTTTTACTGTAGACAGGGTTTCACCATGTTGCTGAGGCTGGTCTTGAACTCCTGACCTAGCGATCCGCCCGCCTCGGCCTCCCAAAATGTTGGGAATACAGGCTTGAGCCACCGTGCCCGGCCTCAAGACAATTTACATCTCTAGAAGGGTGCGTCTCATGGATGGAGCAATGGCGACGGCACACTTGAACAAGGGAGGTAAAGGGGTTCTTATCCCTGACACAGGTAGCCCCTACTGCTGTGTCGTTCCCCTATCGGCTGGGGTTGGACCGCACAGTCTAAGCTAATTCCAGCTGGCTATTTTAAAGAGAGCAGGGGTACGAGTCGGAGTGGCAGAGTGAGTAGTCTGGCGGGAAGGATGGTTACAGAACAGGTGACTCAGGATGAGTCAGGGCGGAGCAGGTGACCAGGGGTGACTCGGGTCAAAGCAGGTGACCGGGGAAGAGATGTGAGCTACTGATTAGAACTGGTGGGAAAGTTGTTTACTGAAACTAGAGGCAAAGGGGCAAAGAGAACCAGGAAGTTAAACTTTAAAACGGAGAATCAAAGAATAAGAAAGCTGAACTAACTCACATGCTGATGCTTTGAAGAGAAACTCGGAGTTCACTGTATTTAACACAGTGAGCTGAGATGGCCTCGCTGCACCCCAGGTGGCGACAGGACAAGACTCTCTCCAGAAAAAAAAAAAAAACAAAAAAAAAAACCCAGCTGCAGCCCAGCCACCTTCACAGGTTCTCAAGACATCCTGAGGTTGTGTCACGGCCAAATCCTTAACCTTGGCAAAATAAGCTTCTAAATCGATTGAGACCTATCTCGAATACTTTTTGGCTTACATGTCATTTGTAATAAATCTGTAATAGTAAATAAAGCATTTCCGTGAGTTCCATGAGCCACTCTAGCAAATCGTTGGACCCAAGAAGGGGGTCCTGGGAATGGCCTATTTGTAGCCAGGTCAGACAGAAATCGTGGGTGACCCACGGGTAACCATGGTCCGATGCCTGGCAGGTCAGTGTGCCAATCCCAAGGGCTGAAGGGCTGTAGCAGAGAAGGTTTTTTTTTTTTTTTTAAGACAGAGTCTTGCTCTTTTTGCCCAGGCTGCAGTGCAGTGGCATGGTCTCGGCTCACTGCAACCTCCGCCTCCTGGGTTCAAGCGATTCTCCTACCTCAATCTCCTGAGTAGCTGGGGTTACAGGTGCCCGCTACCACGCCCAGCTAGTATTTGTATTTTTAGTAGAGATGGGGTTTCACCATGTTGGCCAGGATGAGGATGGTCTCAATCTCTTGACCTCATGATCCGCCTGCCTCAGCCTCCCAAAGTGTTGGGATTACAGGCGTGAGCCACCGCACCCAGCCTAAAATTCTTTTTTTTTTTTTTTTTTTTTGAGATGGAGTCTCGCTCTGTCGCCCAGGCTGGAGTGCAGTGGCCGGATCTCAGCTCGCTGCAAGCTCCACCTCCCGGGTTCACGCCATTCTCCTGCCTCAGCCTCCCAAGTAGCTGGGACTACAGCTGCCCGCCACCACGCCCAGCTAATTTTTTTGTATTTTTAGTAGAGACGGGGTTTCACCGTGTTAACCAGGATGGTCTCGGTCTCCTGACCTCGTGATCCACCCACCTCGGCCTCCCAAAGTGTTGGGATTACAGGCGTGAGCCACTGCGCCCAGCCTTTTCTTTACAGATGCATATATCCCCCCACAAAAGATGACTTTGCAGGGCCATTTCAAAATAGTTTTTGTTTTGTTTGTGTGTGTGTTTTTTTTTTTTTTTTTGAGATGGAATCTTGCTCTGTCCCCCAGGCTGGAGTGCAGCGGTGCGATCTTGGCTCACTGCAAGCTCCGCCTTCTGGGTTCACGCCATTCTCCTGCCTCAGCCTCCAGAGTAGCTGGGACTATAGACTCCTGCCACCGTGCCCGGCTAATTTTTTGTATTTTTAGTACAGATGGGGTTTCACCATGTTAGCTAGGATGGTCTCGATCTCCTGACCGTGTGATCCGCCTGCCTCGGCTTACCAAAGTGCTGGGATTATAGGTGTGCGCCACCGCGCCTGGCCTCTTTTTAGTTTTTTGTAGAGATGGGATCTCACTGTTTCCCAAGCTGGTCTCGAACTCCTGGGTGCAAATGATCCTCCCACCTGAGCCTCTCAAAGTGCTGGAATTCTAGGTGTGAGCTGTCGTGTCTAGCCTGAGAAAGGGGAACCCTTGTGTGGATGTATTAATTTCCTGCCACTGCTGTAACACATTACCACAAACATGGTGGCTTAAAACAATGGAAGTTATTTATGTGTTTATGTCCTGTCCTGTCTTCTTGGCATGATGGCTGTGCCACTCCCTGCTGCCTCCATGGCCGTGCTGTCCCCTCCTGCTTGCGTCCCCTCTGTGGAACCCTCTTTTTTTTTTTTTTTCAGATGGAGTTTCGCTGTGTCACCCAGGCTGGAGTGCAATGGCGTGATCTCCGCCTCCCAGGTTCTAGCAATTCTTGAGCCTCAGCCTCCCAAGTAGCTGGGATTCCAGGTCACCACGCTCGGCTGATTTTTGTAGTTTTAGTAGAGACAGGGTTTCACCATGTGACCCAGGCTAGTCCCAAACTCCAGACCTCACACGATCTGCCTGTCTTGGCCTCCTAGTGCTGAGCTGACAGGCGTGAGCCCCCGTACCCAGCGAGCCCCTCTTATTGGAAAGACATATAAGATCCCATTCAGGGCCCACCTGGATAATCTCCTCTCAGCACCCTTAACTGAATCACATCATGTGCTACATGAGACACAAAGGTTCCGGGAACTCAGACATGGACATATCTTTGGGGAGCCACCACTGAGGAGGGGACAAGAGTGCACCAACCCCTTGGAAGATAATCTAGCCACACTTAGTGACATTAGGGGTACTTGTGTCCCCTCCTGGGCAGACTGCCCAGAGAGATTTCTCACACAGAAGAAGACCAGGTACCATCTGAACAGGAGTGTATCTGGAGATGGGGTGGGAGGAGGCCACAGACCGGGTAAGCTCAGTGCTGCGGGACAGGAAGACACCCCCAAACAAGAATCCTTGCCACAGGCTCTGCTCCGGGGGAACTGACGGGAGACCAGGACCTAGAGCAAACCCTGGGAAAGGTGCCCAGCTCACCCTGCATTCGAGTCCTGCCAGGGAACACGGCAACGAAGGGTATGATGGCCCCAAGTGGATTTCACAGCACCGGGGAATCCGAGAGGTTCCGTCCAATTGCCGGATCCCGGCACCAGGAGCACGGGCCCTGGTTTTTCCTCCAGGTCCCAAGGCCAGCAGGGTTTCTCCTTCGATGGTCCTTCTGCCTGTCCTCCAGGGCTCCCTCCTCCTCTCCCCCAGCACAGCAGGCTGCCCCAGCTGCCTGCCTCCTTCACTGGGTGCCCCCCCCCGCACCCCTGTACCCCCAGGTGGGAGGACTACTGGACGGCCAGCGGCCAAACCTACGCGGACCTGCAGTGTATTTCACCGCAGTAGGTGAAACCTGAGAACCGCGGGGGCAAAGGTAGAACTTTTTTTTTTTCCTTTCATGTCTAGTCCTGCAGAGAGGACTTTTATTTACTAAGTGAAATCATTTTTCCCTCTCAAGCTCTAAGTCTGTTTGATTCAGCCAACTGAATCCAGACATTTCCAGTCAATGGCCCCCATGGTTCTGGCTGGTTCATTCATTCATTCATTCATTCATTCATTCCACGGATAACTCACTAAGCACACACCACAGGTCAGGCACTGCTCCAGACACCAAGAATACAGCAGTGAACGCACAGGCAAATGTCCCTGCTCTCCTGGATCCACAAGAGGGCACGACCCAGGAAACACGTTTCAGAGCCACATTACCTGAGCCTCCAAAAGGTTGAGAAATGCTGTGTAGCTAATACACCCTGAAATGCCTGCACCAAGTGAGTGCATCTGTGTACATCTGCTCCAGCACACACACGTATGTAAGTGGGTGTAAATGTGAGCGATTTCTGTAGCCCTGAAAGCCCATCGTAGAAGCTGAAGTTTGTTTAAAAAAAAAAAAAATTAACAGTGCCCAGGGCGGGGCGGGGAGTGTCGGGTACGGTGGCTCACGTCTGTAATCCCAACACTTTGGGAGGCTGAGGTGGGCAGATCACCTGATGTCAGGAGATGGAGACCAGCTCTGGCCAACATGGCAAAACCCCATCTCTACTAAAACTACAAAAAACGAGCCAGGCATGGTGCTGCATGCCTGTAATCCCAGCTACATGGGAGGCTGAGGCAGGAGAATCACTTGAACCCAGGAGGCAGAGACTGCAGTGAGCCGAGATCGCGCCACTGCACTCCAGCCTGGGTAACAAGAGTGAAACTCAGTCTCAAAAAAAAAAAAAAAAAAAAACCGGCCGGGCGCGGTGGCTCAAGCCTGTAATCCCAGCACTTTGGGAGGCCGAGACGGGCGGATCACGAGGTCAGGAGTTCGAGACCATCCTGGCTAACACGGTGAAACCCCGTCTCTACTAAAAAATACAGAAAACTAGCCGGGCGAGGTGGTGGGCGCCTGTAGTCCCGGCTACTCGGGAGGCTGAGGCAGGAGAATGGCGTAAAAACCCGGGAGGCGGAGCTTGCAGTGAGCTGAGATCTGGCCACTGCACTCCACCCTGGGCGACACAGCGAGACTCCGTCTCAAAAAAAAAAAAAAAAAAAAAAACAAAGTGTCAGGCTACCTTGCTAAGAAACTGAAGTTTCCCAAGCTGGCTTCAGATGGCGGCTGCGGCATCCAACCGACCGTCCACGCACATGGGAATCCCAGGAGCCCAACCCCGCCTGGCTGCAGCCCCATGTCAGGAGACCTGGTCCAACCTGCTGCCCCGCCTCCCCACGCCCCTCCTGCTGGGTGCGGTGAGGGCTGAGAGCCCAGACGCCCTGGTGTGTGACTCTGTAGAGGAGTGACTGCGGGTCTGTCTGCCCTGCCTCAAACATCTCAGACACCAGTCACTGCCCCACTGTCCTGGCCAAAGTGTGTCCTTTGTGCCCCAACACAAGCACAGCCCACTCGGCAGGCGGGGTCTGGGCTCAGGCATCCGACGTCCCTGGAGGGGTCCCCACAGGCTCGGCGCTGAGCCTTTCCCGGGGGCAGCCCTACACTGACACCCCCACTCCAGGGCCATGGCCGTGTCCCCTGAGGCACCAGCGTTTCCTGGCAGGGCCACCAGGGGGCGGCAGGCAGCCCGGGAGGCCGACTGACCCGGTGCCCCGCCTGGGTGGACACAATGCGCTGGGGTCCCGCCTGGGTGGACACGATGCGCTGGGTCCCGCCAGACCTCCCCGCAGCTCTCTCTGCCTGGCTGGCCGTCTGTTCAGCCCTGTTGACAAACCTCCCCTGGTCTCCTGCTCCAGCGTCCACCCCGCCGCAGGCCCCTCTGCTGACCCCTGCTGCCGTCGCTTGGGTCCCGGCACAGCCTTCTTGCCTCTGCCCGCCCCGTCCCTGGCTGCCTCCCCCATGGGGCTTCACGCACCTGCACAGCCTGGACAGCCAGGTCTACACTGCACCGGGTCCCAGGCTCCTGGTGCCCAACAGGACCCAACCTGAGCTCCCCGCCCGACCCCCGGCCACCCAGACCTGCAGACCTGGCATCCCCCAGCCACCCAAACACTAAGCCAGGAGGTCACCCTGGACTCCCCCTGCCCTCCCGCTCCCTGCAAGTCTGAGTCCCAGGTACCCCTCCGTCCACCTCTCTGCGCGGCCCTGTCCACACCACCGAGCCCCCACACCCCACATTTCTGCAGGAGTGCGGCTGACAGGCTCCCCCAGGGGTCCCGCCCCTCCCAGCTGCTCCACAGCTCTGACCCAAGCAGGACGCGAATCACTCGTGTTATGAAGACCCTACTCTGGTGCCCCTCTGCCCGCAGGCGAGAGTCTGAATTCCTTGCTGGGCTCGATTCAGGCAGCTCCACCCCCTGAGCCCTCAGCCTGGCCATTCGGAAGCATCTCCTGGCCCACTCTCTCTGACCACACCCTTCACCGCTGCGTCCCGGAAACTTCATGCCCACCTCAACACCACCTCCTCCGGGAAGCCTGCCCGGACCTGTGAGCGTGCCAGGGCCTTTTCCACCGTCCTCACAATAGTGTAGCTCTGGCTCTGCAGCAACCCCCACCTTGCTGACCATCTCCCCAGCGGCCTGTCAGCTCGGAACGGAGGTGGTGGCAGGAACAGATCCTCCTTTACTCCAGCACGGTGCTGGCCCAGCATAAACACATTCGGGGAGCCTCTGTTGTCTTGAAAAGAACAGAGAGTAAACATGAAGTTGGGCCTGGTGTGGTGGCTCATGTCTGTAATCCCAGCACTTTGGGAGGCCGAGGCAGGTGGATCACCTGAGGTTAGGAGTTCGAGACCAGCCTTGCCAACATGGTGAAACCCCGTCTTTACAAAAATACAAAAATTAGGCTGGGCACGGTGGCTCACACCTATAATCCCAGCACTTTGGGAGGCTGAGGACGGTGGATCAAGAGGTCAGGAGATCAAGACCATCCTGGCTAACACGGTGAAACCCCGTCTCTACTAAAAATACAAACAATTAGCCGGGCGTGGTGGCGGGCGCCTGTAGTCCCAGCTACTCGGGAGGCTGAGGCAGGAGAATGGCAGGAACCCGGGAGGCAGAGCTTGCAGTGAGCCGAGATCGCGCCACTGCACTCCAGCCTGGGAGACAGAACAAGACTCTGTCTCAACAAAAAAAAAACTAAAACAATAATAAAAATGTTGAATTATAGAGTGGGCCAGGCACAGTGGCTCATGCTGCAATCCCGGCACTTTGGGAAGCCAAAGTGGGACGATTGCTTGAGCCCAGGAGTTTGAGACCAGCCTGGGCAAAGTGGTAAAACCCAGTCTCTACAAAAGGTACAAAAATTAGTGGGGTGTAGATTAGTGGGGTGTGATGGTTCACGCCTATAGTCCCAGCTACTCAGGAGGCTGAGGTGGGAGGATCGCTCGAGACTGGGGAGGTCAAGGCTCCAGTGAGCCAGGATTGCACCACTGTACTCTAGCCTGGGAGGCAGAGTGAGACTCTCTTAAAATTAAATCAAATTATATTAAATTAGCCATGCATAGTGGCTCACACCTCTAATCCCAGCACTTTGGGAGGCTGAGGCAGGAGGGTCCCTTGGGCCCAGGAATTTGAGACCAGCCGGGGCAACACAGGGAGACCCTGTCTCTAAATCTATTACTTATTTATTTTTGAGACGGAATCTCTCTATGTCTCGCGGGCTGGAGTGCAGTGGTGTGATCTCAGCTCACTGCAACCTCCACCCAGCGGGTTCAAGTGATTCTCCTGCCTCAGCCTCCTGAGTGGCTGGGATTACAGATGCCCGCCACCACACCCCGATGAGTTTTGTATTTTTAGTAGAGATGGGTTTTCATCATGTTGGTCAGGCTGGTCTCGAACTCCTGACCTCGAGTGATCCACCCACCTTGGCTTCCCAAAGGGCTGGGATTACAGGCGTGAGCCACTGTGTCCAGCCAAGGGCTGCGATTTAGAGGATGCCGGAAAGAGCCACCGGGGCGGCTGGGGTGGGAGGGCGGGGCATGCGGGTGGGGCACTGCTCGGGGAAAGGCACGGAGGCAGGAAGCAGCACAGGTGTGCAGGAGTGAGGCTGGGGCAGAGGGATGACGTGGAGGGAACACAGCAGGGGCAGGCCACTCCTGCCCCGTCCAAGGGCTCTTAATCTCAGCAGCATCTATCAGAGGCAGAACAGGCTGCAGTCCGGGAGAGAGAGGAGGGTACCTGACCCGCCCACATGCACCAGGACAAGAATGCTGCACGCAGGGCCAGGTGGGAGGGAAGGTCACGCCCCAGGCACCCCAGTCTGTGGGCTTTTCCGTCTGTTTCAGAGGGTTGGGGGCCAAAAAGCCCTTGGCTCCTAGCTGGACTCTCCCTGCCCGGGTTTCCCGGGGCTGCCGCCACTGCACCGGGCGCGCTCTTTATTCTCTGCAGCGCTCACGCCAGTCATTCCAACTGTGCCGGCCAGGAGCAGGACTGCAGACCCATCTCTCACCCCAATCTGGTCCCGGCCTCTCTCTCCGCTGACAGAGGTGATCAATTTGGGGATTAGCAGTGACAGGCATTCACTGAGGCCCACCTCTTTGGGAGCGCAGAAAATCAAAGCTGTAGGTCGCGGCACAGGGAAACGGAAACGGCCCAGACTTTGCTCCCCCCGCACCACTCTTCTGGCGGATGAGGCCCTGTGAGCCTGGTGACCACCACCCAGCAAGCAGCACAGTCAGGAGGGAGGGAGCGGGCTTTGCGCCTTCTCCCCACCCAGCCTCCCAGCCTGGGGAATTTGAGACGAGAAGACACCAAGACACCCCCAGACTCTCTGGGGCCAGTCAGAGGCTGAGGGCCCAGGCCTCTGTGGTTAGGGGGTTCCCTCAGGGAGCTCGGGAGGAGCCCTGCAGAACACGGTAGGATCGGGTCACAGCCTCTGAGCAGTATCTTCTGAAACCCTCATCCTGGCTGGTTGAGCTGCAGGGGAGA